CTCCTAATACCACCACATTGGGCATAGACTTCAACATACACATTTTGGGGGGATACAAACACTAAGACCCTAGCAAATGGGAAGCAAAGGAATAAAAAACTGGCATGTTAACTTTATCAGTGATGTTTCCTTACTCATATCTTAGAAAAAAGCAAATATACTATTTTGTCGTAATTCTTGTGTGAGATACATATATGTTATTATTTTCTGAACATTTTTATACAAAAAAATGAATGCAATTCAAAAAACACAAAGTAAATGGAATGCAACACATAAAACAGTGATCATTTAATTTTGCACATACAAGTGGTAGAGAACTATATTTCTATAACAAGAGAAAGTTTGGTTTTTAGAAAATAAAGCATAATGATTAATGTTGAAATGTAGCAACGAAAATTTAGAACCTAAAGACTGAAAGAATTCACATCCCAAATGAGGACTTTTCCCAGAGTAACTGCAGAATAATATCAAAAACTGAGGGAACAGGCACTGTAAGAAGAACTGAATTAATTAGCCAGTCAGTCAAGTATTTAAAGTAGTTTCATTCTCAAAATGTAGCAGAAAAATCTGAAGAGATTTTTTAAAAGATAAATTGAAAAATAATTTAATGATCAACTAAAGGGACTAAAGTCAAATACATTCTGGAAAGAACTCTGCTAAACCGCCAAACAATAAGTAATTTACAGATTATCTTAAAACTATCAAGGTGCATTGGAGGGAAGGGTTAATGAAAAACTTTAATTCATTCTATAGTACTACGATGAGAATTATACTCAATCCAGACAAGTATAACAAAAAGGATGAACTTTAAACAAATGTTGCTTTTGTACATGAAAAAATGCATTTTTATATCACAAATTCAGTATCATTAAATAAAACCCAGCTTTCACCAGGGGAAACAGCAGTGGTTTCAAATAATTGAAAATTGAGTCTACCACATGACCCCTCTGAGCTACTCATGACAACAAATAAATAAGCAAGAAAGGGGTCCATATACTAGCTGAGGTGACTGGTTCTAAGTATAAAAGAGAAAAAGTGATGCTACTAGAAAAGAAGGTATAAGGAGGAGAATGGCTTTCTGGGGCTCCTGTGGATACTCCAATGTCCTGTGCTTAATGTCCATAGGAAATCACATCAACCCGATATAGTCAGGATGTCTAAGGACCCAAACACTTTCGAAATAAAGGTTTTTCTCATTCAACCAGGCAAGAAACTACAACCAGCTGAGGCAATTGCTGAGGGCAAAGGGAATACAGAATAGTAGTGGGAAAAGGGAGTAAAAAATACCAATGGTGACCTCATGACTAATTGCTGAATTGAGGTCTTAATAGTTATGATTGTTTGATCCTTATTTCAATAAGGGATGCATTGTGTATAGTTTAAGCATTTTCCTCCCCCTTTCCCGTTCTCTTATCAACAAATATAAATATGTCAATAATACCTAACCTTATATTTCAATATTTAGGTTATAGAACATTAAAGAGAAAGTGGTTCATCCCAAATAGGAATGAGTATCAAAGACAAACGTAAGAACTTTGTAAATTTTCTTAGGAAGATGGTTAGTGTGTTTTCAGTTGTACAAGGGACAGTTGAATCACGTTAGAAAGAAGCATGATTTTAGAACTTATCTGTGGTTAATAGGGATACATGTGGATTCCAAGTTATCAAGAGATGAACCTGGATAACCTTCTACTGTGTCAAATTAGTATCTCAGAATTTCTTTCCCTCTATGTTCTGGGCTAAGGTTGGCCATAAGAGAAAATTATGTGTAAAATTTAGAAAGTGGGAGTGAACAACAGCTAGATGGAGGCTCAGGGGGTCAGCGTAGGATAAGACAAATTAGTGCTCATACATGGTGTCTTGAATCTGCTGATTCACCTTGTTGATGTGAAGCAGTAACTGGGCTTCCACATCCTCCACTTTTTGCTAGATCTCCTTCTCCTGCTCCTTTGGGCCAGGTATGTATTCATACCCTCAACAAATAACACTAGCCTCTTCTGCAAGTCATCCATATCATTGAAGTTGGATAACTGGAGATGTTGAAAGGTTAACGTGGTTTCCAGCTCATCCTCATAGGTTCCAGTTCATTCTTACAAGTTCTAGTGTGCCCTTGCTCTCCCTCACGCTGTGTCCATATTTCTTATGTACACTTGCCCTCTTCACTTCCAATCCAGCACCAGACACAGAAGCAGCAGCTGTAGTTGAACTGTTTAACCACTCCCACAACTGCACAAACAAATCTTTATAATAATTTGTTATAAATCATTATTAGTGGCCAATCTCTAATTCATCTCTGACTGGTACAAATACCTACAAAACTGAGCACACTTCCTCAAACTTCTCTTTTCTAGGGAATCTGTTTGGTTTAAATATGTAATTTAAAGAATCTCTCTAAGACTGTTCCATATTGTTTAGTCATTTTGACATATTATATAATAAGAAAATATTTTTAGCAAAGCATTTTATTTTAAATATTTTGCCTGTTTAACCAAAGGTTACGATATTTAATCTACATTATATTAGAAAAAAATTGATCCACGAATTTAAAAATGTATCTTGGTAGGTTTAGAGACAAAATATACCCTGCTTGGTATTTACCAAGAGTTTAAGGTAACTAAAACTTGATAAAGTTTGATTATGAAAACAATTACCACAACTTTATTCTAAATGATTAATTCTTAAAGCCTTCACTTATACTCTTTTAAATCAAACTTTTATTAATAACAAATGTTGCTTGAAAGGGTATGCATTTTCAAGCCCTTTGTATTTTGTGGTGGCTTGAGTTGTATCACTTCAAAACTGCAAACTCTGTTTTTAAATTAGCAGATAGATACCTGAAGTACTATTTTTGCAGGCTTTGCACAGGCCCCTGTCTACTACTTTGATATAGACTATACATAGTCTGTATACATCCTGTATTCTGAGCTGGTAAAATACATTGGAACTAACATATTAAATATTTTATGTGCTTTTACAAGTGCAAAGTGCAAAAACACATACATTAGGCTCATTGATGACTCTAAAGTGGATTGACATTTTGTGATAATGCCTAAACCTTTTGACTCTTGTATAAAGAACATAGCCCCCCTTCACTTTTGCCTTAACTTGGAGGTGGCATGTTTAAATTTTCACATATACTTAAAGAGTTCATCTGATCTTGTTTCCTACTGTGTAGTTTTATTTAAATCTTAGTAATTTTTATGCTGTAGCCTTTAATGATGTTTGTGACTAAGAGTAAAGCCAAATTAAAATTGAAAACCCTTCAAAATACTTACAAATGAAATGGGTTGATGTCTAGGATTTGCTTCAAAATAATGTGAGGTAGGAGAAAGGAGTCGAGATGAAGAAGAAAGGAGTGTAGATGAAACAATATCAGTCAACTTTTGATAAAGGTAGAAACCTCTTCATGAGGTCACTTGTGGCAGGCCCTCATATAGCTTCAGGATGGGGGCTGGTTATCAAAAAGAGCAACCACGTGATTAGTGGGTTGGAACTTTGAGCTAGCATAAATTCCAGGGAGAGGAGGGTGGCTAGAGTTTGAGTTCAAATACATGGCCAGTGATTTAATCAGTCATGCCTACATGATGAAATCCCAAATAATTCTCTGTACACCTGAACCAGTAGAACTTCCTAACTGGTAAACAACATTGATGTGCCAGGAGGGTAACACTTCCTGATTCCTGAGGAGAAGGCACAGAAGCTCTGTGTTCCCTCCCTGAATCCATCCTATGTGTATCCTGTGTAATAAAACTATAATTTAAGTATAGCACTTTCCTGTATGCTGTGAATCATCCTAAGAAGATTCACAAATAATCAAACCTGAGGAGATCTATCATGGGAACCCCCATCTTTGTAACTAAGTTTTCAGAAGAGGGATAGCCTGAGGATACCCCCAGGACTTGCAGCTGACATCTGAAGTGAGAGCAGTCTTACGGAGAACTTTTCCCTTGACCTGTGAGTTCTAACTCAGGTGGTTAGTGTCAGAATTTAACTGTAGTGTACCCAGTTGGTCAGACCAGTTGGAGTAAACATAATTGTCTTTTGAATAAAGTTTACATTTATTTTGACATAAATTTTCCTTTTATATAGCTTTTTATTTTCCCATCTGTCCCTGTTCTCTAATTCAAATTGGTGTCATAGAAACACCAAAATGATTATATTTCCTAATCATACATAGCACTTCATGTGAATGCTCATGGCACTCCCTTTGTCTAGAATGTCTTTCTTATAGCACATAAATATCATCCAGCATGATCGAGTGATTCTTTTATACTCAGTTTAGTAATCATTTCTGCAGGGTGTTTTCCCAACTACCATCCACCAACCTCTTCCCACTCCAATACCCATACCCACTGCTAAAAAAACTTGAAGTACTTCTTTTTAGTATTTTTATCAAATCTTGTGTATATCTCTATTATTGTACTTGTACATCATTTCATAATGCTCATGTATCTGTTTTCCACAGGCTGCTGTTAGCGCCTCAAGAATATGATTCTATTTTGCTGTTTTGTTTTTGTTTTTATCCCCAGGACCTAGCTCAATGGTTGCAACAAAGTATGGGCAATAAATATTTGTTGTGGGAATTATTTGAATGAAGTGAATACATTTGTGTATGTCTTTCATAATGTGCTTTTGTTGTTCTCTAGATCTAGGCTTATTATGGGATTTATTCTATGGAAGTTATTTTGTAATTAACTTTAAATAAGCTTTTCTGTTGGGGAGCACTGTTAACCTTGTAACTTTTTCTATAAATTTCCTTCATGTTCAAATTAATCTATTCCACTTGCTTTGCGCACTTTTTCCTCTCTCAATTTGAAATGTCCTTGTACGTTTTCATAGAAATATTTTGTAATTACGTTGTGATTTGGACATCTGAAATCTAAATAATAACTATATTAATTTTGAAAACATGTAATACTGACCTAATGTTAGACCTTAAGCTTGAGGATTATACAAATATTTATCACTCAAGGTTATCAACTGTTGAGTAGTGAAATCCTTGATTATTCTATTAGACTGCATCTTCATTACGCTGATTTGATTATTTTTTCCTATCGCGTATGTAGAGCAGACTTCCTTTGGTCCAACAAACATTAAGACTGTGCCTCTATAATGTCGCTTATTTAGATGATGAGTGAACTTTCAGTTACTCTAGATGCATGATCTGTGTGTAATTAAAAGACTGAAACAAGAAATTTGCCTTTTTTCCCTTAAAATTGCAGCTGAAACTATGTAGTCCCCTGGACTCCCACTGTAAGATAGTTGAGAATGATTATCGGAATCTTCCAGGAGAAAAATTTCCGTAAGTACGCTTGTCATCAAAAAATTTTCAAATCTTATATACAGAGAATGGAAAATAATACATTTATATCTATATATACCATTTTATTTTCTCCTAAGCTATTTCTTTGTAATTATGTAGAGGTGGATTAAATTTGTTTATGTTTGAGATTCTCCCTTCCATCCAGGTTACTATGGCCATTTGTAGGCATTATTACGGTTGAAAAGTTAAAATAATATCTATAATTTCTATCTTAAGAGTTTGACATTACCATTAGAAAAGGAAGTAAAAGTCAAATCTTTCAGCAGCTGCGAAGAACATGCCCTGCTCAGGACCCTGAACAAATGCTATCACTCAACAATATTTCTGAATGAATAAACATATACATGGGGCGAGAATCACTCCATATTACTGAAAATTGCCTGGAAATTAGCACCAGATCCATTCAATTTATCTATTTCCATATACGTCATCCTAGATTAAAACATTTTCATGTAATTTTCTACTATATTCTAGAAAAACGTCATCCCGTTTCTCTGATTTTAAAGTCCCAATCACCTTAAATATTGAGCTCAAGTCGCATCTCCTTATTGATGCCTCTGGCTTAAAATTAATTTCCCTTTTCTTTCGTACTAGTGCACAGTGTATCACAAATTAGTACTTTCTTGCCCTCTAACTTTAATCTGTGTAAACTGTGCCTATCTAGTTAGATAAAAAGCTCTTTCAGATCACCAAGAAGGTCTTAGTTTTCTGTGCTATTTCCCTATTTCAACAAACAACCCAGAAAATATAGTGCCAAACACTGAGTGGATGTACTATACGTAATGACTGATCGATTAGAAGAATGACTATACTTTCTACTCAATGTGACCTTTTCTAAGAAGCCTTCCAAAATGGAAAGAAAGCCTTAGGCTAATATATTTAAACAATTTGCATAATAATGTATTTTCCCTTGTGGGTTTGGCTTTATTCATTTATATGTAAATGATCGCATTTATGTGACCATATCAATTTAATAAGGAAGGAGACAAAAGGCACAGACAGAGAGACAAACAATATGAATATCACTGCTGTAGTGTTAGCTCTGGAATAAATACGCCTGGATTCTTAGCTCTGTCAGATGTCAGCTCTTTTATCTTGAGCAAATTACCTAACTCGGGTGTCTTATGATTTCATCCAAAAAATGGTGATAATTTGTAACCACTTCACACTTTTTTTTGGAAAATAAATGGGGGATAAATGAGAAATAGACAAAACTTAAGTGTCTGTGTATATATACATATATATCATAATATAGGTTGTTATGAGCTGTAGTATAAGCATATACATATATGCACATACAGTTCAGAACTTACTCTATATTGTGATCACCATAATATTGTATCATTCTGAGACAGCCTTTCAAGACTAGTTGTTTTGGGGATCTAGTTAAAGAAAATACCAAGTCAACCTCTGGGAAAGAACTCACTCTTAATAGAAATGTAGCTGTAGTACTTAGTATGACCTAGTAAAAATCCTCAAGGTCAGGAAAAGGATAATTTGAGCACCAAAGAGCATGTGTCATTTAGATCACCTTCTGACTCAGCCTGCAGGGACCGATGCCTGAATCCTAGGAGAAAATGTCTCTAAAATATATGTCTGACGTTTAGAGGAAAAGCCACATGGTCCTGTAGCCTAAGTCAGAGAGCATAATGAGGATTATTGTTGGCAAATGATGACGCAGATACAACCACTTAAGAGACATCCACAATGAAGAGCAGCTGGTAAGGCTTATTCGTTTTTGAGGCACTAGTTAAATAGGCAAATGAGAAATACAGTTTTGCTGTGGTTTAGAGCTGTTTGTGGTTTTGGGGTGTTTTCTAGCATTTTGGTAGTATTAGCAGCATCCTGCCATCAGCTGCAAGAGCTATGCATGCTGGGAAACAAATCATTAAATGCTATGACTTGCCTAAAAATTTTAAATAGCAGAATAGAAATAAAACAGACTTCCCTTCTGATTCAGTGCTCTTTGTCCTACTTGGCTGCCATCTTTACCTAGAGTTTCATAAAGTCACTTGGCAGATATTTGTAAAATCCATAATATTGAGTCATTGAAAATTTGATTCAACATGATGGCAGGCCCAGGAAGCATAGTTCTTCAGGTGTCCTTTCTTAATCTGAGACAGTCGGCTTTGGAAGCCACTGACCTAGACTATGAATAATCCTTTTTTTTGTTTAAAGTTGTATTATTCATTCAGCTTTGGAATCAGCTAGCCTCGGTAAGTATTCTATTTCAACCATGTAATTAGTGGTCTGGGACAACTTTTCAGAGCCTCATACTACTCTTCCTTGATTAGACCTATTTAACAACAGTGTTGTGAAGATTACAAATGATGTGATATTGCATATTATAGGTACTCAACAAATGACATCTCTTATAAGGTGAATAATGATGACCTAAATAAAATTGCCCAGCATGTTATAAATGTTAATTTATACACCTTTTAAAATCATTACATTAATGATTTGTAAATATACCATATACAATGACTTATTTTCTAATAACATTTTTTATATAATTAGGTAAATATTGCAACCCACAACAAATTATAACAAGTTCTAAAAAAATTAACATTGAAATTGATGAAATTTTACAGAACTGAAATTCTTTCTATTCTATATGAGTAATAAAAATAAATTATTAAACATATAAAATACTTTTCATAGCAAACTACTTAGTTTGTTGAATTACATACCAAGGAAGTATTACTATTTTAATTCTAAGAACAGCCTATTTAGCGATTTTTTATAGTAACTTGTTTTGGGTGGTTGTGAGTTAGTTGTGCTTGTTTTTATTGCTACTTAGAAAATTAAATCCAAATATTTTCAGGAATAGATAAGTTTGAGTTATCCAGTTGATTTTCCCAGTCTTTAGGATTTTGAGAAGTAATAAAATCTAAGTGACTTAGCTTCTCAGCAAAAAAAACTATTTACTTGTTTTATTTTTTTCTATGTTGTATAAAATCCACAATTTTACCACTCACCTTTTAAAATATTCTAATAAGAGAAATATAGTATGTTTATGAAGTTCAGTGATTAATTATATGAAAAAGTTTATAATATATACTTAGTCCACTTTTATATCTTCCTGTAAATCAATATAAAGATGAGAGTAGTAGATATTGGAGTTTTCTGTTCTTTTTAAACCTGTGCAATACTTTGCAATGACAAAGCAGTTGAATCTATTTATACCATCAGTAAAGAATATTTTGTCACATGTAAAAAGAATTCAATCAAGTTGACCCATTCATAGAGAATATTACAAAGTGGCATTTTTATTTTATAAATATATATCATAAGCATATATATTTTAAAATAGAAACTACTATAGAAATAATGACATATTTTAGTGCTGTTTTTGAAGACACAAATGAACATTTTTGTGTCTTCTAAAATTTAGATAAGAGTTTAAAGAAAAAATTCTTTACTAAAGAGAACTTAAATACTTTCAGTTCTCCATGGTCCTAATTTATAATGTTCCTGGTCAAGATTTAAAATGTAACCAGTGTTAGGATTCTGACAGTCAGCAGATATTTTCCTAATATATCAAATTTTAGAAATCCATTCTTTCTCATACAAAGACTCCAAATCCAAAATACAATAATGTATTAGAGAGCTGTCATTAAATTTCTATTGTATAAAATAACAATAAAAAGTAATTACAACACATATACTGAATTTGCTTGACATTCAAATTATGTATGGATAATGTTTCTGAATGTTTCCATTCTGACTGGAAACATGGAAGAAGAAAGAAGACAAGACATAATCCTTGTAGTCAAGGTGCCTTCAATCAGATACAGAAGCTAGTTCCTAATTTAATAGAAAGCAGACTAAATTATCACTGTACTACATGTACAAATAATTCAAATTGATTATAGGCAATGGAAGTATTCATTCCGGTAAGGAACTAGAAGCAATGATAAAAAGATTTGAATTCAAACTTAGAAGATAACAGGTTTTGAATAGGTAGTGAAGGAGGGAAAAGAAGGGAAGAGTTTTAGAAAAGGCACAGTTTTGGAAAGTGCCATATGCACATCTCTTCAGAGAATGGCAAATTGGTCTCTGGCTGAAGTATAAGACATTTCTGGGGATAAAAATAAGAAAGAGGGAAAGATACAGTGACATATTCTAGAAGGTCCTGTATATAAATTTAAGGAACTTGGTTTTTAATGCTCACTAAACAATTATGGAAAAGAGCAATGGTTTAAACTGTGTATTAGGATAACAACTAAACAGTATGAAGAATATATAAAGTAAAAGGTTGGGTTTTGAGTGAACAATTAGACCACTGCTAGGCAAGGGCTTATGAAATCTTGAACGGGCTAGGGAGTAGGGTGGGAATAAGGAAATGTTACAAAATAATTTAGTGCGTTCTTTAAGATGAGGGTTAAAGGAAAGAGAGGTGACTATGAGATTTAGTCTTAGTGGTTGAGAGGATATTACAACTCAAAATACCAATTTACGGCAATGAAAATTTAAGAATTGTACTAAAATATGTGATTTTCTAAAAATCTACCAACAATCGCTATTCTTAAAGTATTTGATTTTACATGAGTTTTCTTTAGAAAATCAAAACCTGTATGTTTTAACATATTAGAGGTCAAAGCACAATCAGAATGATTGTAATTAATGAAAGAAGGAGCTTTACATGTAACAATGCACAAAATACCACCTTCACTGTTAAATCTTTTAAATATGATTGTGATATTTCCCCATGATAAAAGTTATTTTAATTCTCAGGGGTAATATTAGATGATATGATTCACTTTGTTATGATCAGAAATGTTCTCACCCTAATATTTATTTTTCCCTAACAGAAAATAATGGAGTTATGTATAATATGTGTTGTATGTATAAATATTTCAAAATTAGGAAATTATTCATTCTATATTTGCAGACAAGTAGAACGGCACTTATGATGTCTGGACAATGATATATGAGAATAAGAACAATTCACAGAAAATCCCCAATGTCAACTG